GTCACTGCGAACGCGGTGGCCCATACGCACAGTGGCCACGTCAAGGTGGAAGTCTTTGTGTCAGAAGTCAAAGATCGACAGGCAGTGGTGGATTTTGTAATCGAGGACTCTGGGATTGGCATGAGTGCCAGCCAATTGGATACCTTGTTCCGTGACCTTGAACAGGTCAGCTCAGAGGAAGCGCCTATGTCGGGCACGAAGCTGGAGGAGATGCCTCGCGAAATGCGAACATTGGGACTTGGTCTTGCTGTTGTTGCCCGCATTGTTCGAAACATGGATGGACAGCTTCGTCTCAAGTCTGAGGTTGGCCAAGGCTCAAGATTCGTGGTTCAGCTTCCATTCCTCCTTTCCAACGAGTGCCCAAGCTCACAAGGAAACGAAAACATCACTAAGAGTAGTCCGACAAACAAGTCGACAAACAGTGCAGAGTCCGCCAACACTGCAACATCTGCTCCTCTTTCTTTGACAGCTGCTCCAGAAGGAGAGATCACACTCGTTGACAGGGTTAGCTCCATGACTTCAGCTGTCGAAGGAGGCGATGCATCAATGAAAGGAAGCCGAGCAAGCCAAAGAAGTATGAGCAGCCATGGTAGCCGTGGCAGCCATCAAAGTGATGCCGATCGGCTCATTGATGCGATCTCGACACCCTTATCTCTGAACGACAGGGAAGGCGGCGAGTATCCTCTTCCTGGCAGTATAAATTCAGGAGGAAGCTCCATGCGGCCCACGTCCCGCGGAGCTGTCAGCCTCAGTGGCCGATCTGTGAGTCCTCCCCAGAGCCATGTAGCAACCAAACCACATAGCGAGCCTGGGAGCGCAGGGGTGGTGGATTCAAAAACTCCGATTCGTGCTGTCAAGATTCCGGACGAGTACAGCGATGTGCCTCAAAGACCACAGCCCGGCGAGCATTCCCGTGTCCTTTTTGAGATGAAGGGAAACGATCGCCCCGTGACAAAGGCCGCAACAGAGAGTGTCACAAGTGGAGGAACTCAGATGACTGAGGCACAACATCTGGAGGTCCTTGTGGCCGAGGACGATCCAATCAATATGAAGATTTTGAGGAAGCGTTTGGAGCGAGTCGGCCATGGCGTGCATCATACTGTCAATGGCGAAGACTGTGCTGCAGCGTATCGCGAACGATCAAAGGAGTTTGACGTGGTCTTGATGGATATGCAAGTAAGTCGTTCCGTCTATGTCTTCCCATATAATTTACGTTACTAACATGAATCAGATGCCAATTGTCGATGGACTCACAAGTACGAAAATGATCAGGTCAATGGAGGCATCGGCGGAGCATCAAGGCCATTCGTCGTTGGCTAATTCAAATTATCGCATACCGATTTTCGCGGTTTCGGCTTCTCTCGTTGAGCGTGAGAAGCAGACCTACGTCGATGCCGGCTTTGATGGCTGGATCCTCAAGCCGATCGATTTCAAACGTCTCAACACTTTGCTTGCCGGTATTTCTGATGAGGAGGTCCGCAAGTCTTGCCTATACGAACCAGGTCAATGGGAACGTGGAGGTTGGTTTCTTCCAAGGGCCGTTCTTGGTGGTTCAGTGACTAGCGACGAGACGACACCCAAGGCCGAGCCTGATTCCAAAGATAAAGACATAGGCAACACAGTAGCGGCCGAGGAAACCAAGGCTGAGGGCGATGCTATTGAACCTGCACCCAGTACTTGAGACGCCAGTACTTGCACCAGCAAACAAGTCATCAGCCGACGACAGCTCCAGGATGATGTAGAGCTCTCCCCATCTTCTGCTTTCATATACGAAGGGGTCTCCTCGAAAAGACCAGCAATTCCTCTCGAGTCTTTTGACATCTTCGATACACACCTTCAGATGCCATTTGACCGTGGCTGCTAGTTTCGTTTTATTGTTCTTTGTCCTTTGAGCTTCATTCTCGCTTTTCTTTTTTGCTTCAATGGTTTTAGCCCACGGGATACACGCACTGTACACGATAGATATGATGGGAATGGGAATGGGCAACAAGGCGTTAGGGGCTTTCAGGCGTTGAAGTACGCTTCACCATCGCAACGCTGTTTGATGTCGCAGGCTGTCCTTTCCGTGCAAGCAAAAAAGTTCTTGTACGAGGAAGACACTTATAATCGCTGGCAGTCCACCACTTTGTTTTTGTTTTATTTTTATTTCATTCTTCCCTTTTGTTAGCATAGAACGGACGAGAGACGAGGACCATGATGTATACGATAACATGGGTTCAAGGACGGGGTGTTTGGTGATAGGAATGGCTTTTGTTTTATCACTTGTTTCTTGGTCGATCTCTGCTTCTGCTCTGCACACACAAGAGCATCGAGCGAATTCATGGCGAGAAGGGCATTTCTAGCATGACTGTCCTGCGAGGGTCATGGCCGCATGAGGAGGGAGTACAACACCACGCCGCCGGTCTGGCGGCTTGGTAGTGGTTGGAGGAGGAGGAGGAGGCGGAGAAAGGCATCAGGAGTAACAGCATGTATATGTCTATCCATAGAACTCATGCCTAATGCCTATCAAAGAAAACACATCATAACTTGGATGGTTTGAATGGGCGAGTGAGCACCATATAGCCCATGAGATGTCAACAAATAACATTGTACTGAGCTTAAGCACAAATATCACTAAGTTCTTCAAGTCATGTATTGATTGAATCCTGAGAGTTGTCATAAATGTGCATTTGATGTGTATTTTCCATAGCCTACCTATCAAACGTTCAACGCCGTCTATGCATTAATCCTGCAAAGCAAAATCCGAATGGTACCCTTCCTCCCACCCCGTGACACCATCATGCTTAACCCTTCCTAAAGCGTCTCCAGTGCGTCTACGCCTTGTTCCCATGATGCAGTCATTAGGCATTTTTGCCAAATATCCAGGTAGTCTGATGTCGAAAATTTCCGCTGAAGAAAAGATTGGAATCTTTCACTGACAGTCCTAACATCTACCGGGTATGGAGTCGCGAAGGGACATATATGAGACCGGCCGTATGCGCCCGTCACTCTACAGCTCGGATTCAGCTCCATTAGTGGACAGAGCCATGGGGCTACCATTGTTGTTCTGCCTCTGGCGAAGGCGAGCGTTTCCAGGAGGGCGTCGACGAACCATAACTCTGCCATTCACACCAGTTTGACCGCTGTTCTCGTCGTCATCCTCCGAGTCAGGGTTCTGTTCTGCGTAGAGACGGGCTTCGTCGAGCTCGTTGATATCTGTGGGGCGTTCACGGAGCCACTGCATCCTGGGGCCAGAGCGGGCTCTCTCAGAAACGCGGAAACCATAAATGCGAGGCTCGTATATACGCTCACGGCCTAGACCAGGGCCAATATTCTTTGCGTACATGCCATTGATGAGACCATCGCCTTCGTTAACACGAGAGCTCGTGGATGACAACACTTCGATGCCGCGCTTAGTAAGGTCATATTCTGGGAAAGTAAGGAGAAAGAGGGAGCCGAAAGTACGACCAAAGAAGGCGCCGTCGACAGTTTGGAAACGGCTGTTGGGCGGGACGTAAACGTCTAAACATGATGGGCAGAAGAGCTTGACCGTGTCCTCGCCAGGGATATCGGAGAGGCCGACAGGCAGAGTGCGAGCTTGGTCACAGTTTGTCCTGGGACAGCAGCCAAAATGGCCTAGCTCGTACTTTTCACTCATCTGCTGGATGCCGGCCCTGGAGCAGATAAAGCGTTGGTGGATGAGGCCGTACAACATCTCGGCAGAGGATTCGATGACGGACAAGTCGCTGGCCATGCGGTGATGCCTCCGCTCGCTGGCTGCTCTAGTCAAGCGTTCTGGGTCTGACTCGTTCTCGTCCTCTTCCTCCTCCTCTTCTTCCTCTTCCTCGTCGTCCTCTGGTTCCACATCCAGGATCATCTGTGAGACAGGGGTACAACGTTAGCAATTCTGGGTCCTTTGAGAGAGATAAAACTGCAAACGTCGACGCGCCCGCGAGACAAGATCAACATACCTCCAATGCTTCCTTGTACATGGCAACCTGGGACTGCAGACCAGTCAGGTTGAAGTCATCCTCGATAAACTCCTCCGAGACTTCGGCGAAGTATTCATGGCCGAGAAGAGAGCAGAAACTGGATATCCAGGACTCGGGGACGCCCGAAGAGGTCGACATGGTGTCGCTCTCGTGGTCGTTTATTTTGTTGTCGAGGGGCAACGGGTACCAGTTGACAAGGCTGGGCCAAGGGATTGCGCTCGGTAGCGGCGTTGTATAAAACGAATCGCAATGGAGAGGCGAGAAAAATTACAGATGTTGTGAGGGCGTTGAAGCGCTGTGCTGGAGGGCGCGGTATCGATATGATAGCTGTAAAGCTACCTCGAGGCGGGGTGATGGATGTTGGTGAGTATTTTGAGGGGCGCAGATATCGCGAGCCACGGACACAAAGCACCCACTACACCTAGCCTACCTAGACCCGACCTAACCTACCTAACCTACAGTGGAGGGCATGCGCGCTCGACGCTAAAGTCGATCGACGTTGGTGGGGATGTGCCCGCTACTATGGGATCCGTACCTAGTAGGTGAGGTATGTGATTCCACAAACAAAACAACAGCAGTGGTTAATGCATCAAAAATCAGTGCATTTCCGATGATATACAGTAAATGGATAGCGTTGCGATGAGACTTGGACTGTATGACTGAACAGCCATTTCCTCTCTCGTCGATTGCGCCAGGACGAAGAGTTTTGGTGCAACAGAAATAGAAGGATCTAACTATTAATGCACAGATTACAGTAAAGGTTCCATTTGGTTTCCACTTCTATCTAACGGTACCTGCTTCGGGACAGGGTTTTGCCGCTTCCGATGCATAGATCTCGCCTTTCATATTCAAGATTCCTCGATAGATGGTGGTAAAAGTGTGACCCAACACAACCAATGCATTAGATGAATGCAGGGCATAACGTCGATCTATTCTCAAATGGAACTACAAAAAATACATACTATGACAAGCCCTTCTCATTACTAAATCATTGTACAAGAACATCTTCCCATCGAAAATAGAGAAATCATGAGCAAAGTTCTATCTACCTTCTCACCATGGAGTCGGCATATATCAAAGACGGTTCCATTATGCCGATATTTCAGTCAGACATTATCACCAAGAAAGGGGATACCGAGAAAGGGGATACCGAGACTGGTAGCAGTAGCCGAGGAATATACCACCACTGAAGCATTTCGCACGCGATCATTTGAACTCGAGAAGCCTGTCGTCTTCGCCAAAGACCAGGGCTCACCGGCTGCCAATCTACCTGCGCTGGAGAACTGGTTCATGGACGAGGAAGAACCACACCACACAGCCAACACAAAAACTCCACGGCAGCCTTTATCACGGCACTTCCGGCGCTTTCGCAATCCCATGGTCACTTATGAGATTTACGCTCCGTCTCGGAAGCAGAAGGACAGCCTCGTCATGTTTCGGGATTCTCTTGACCGAGATATCCATGATGATCCCATTGTGAGGAATTGGGACAACTGTTTCAACCAGGAGGCTGTGGTTGACGGTGTCCTCGACGAAACCGTCAACAACATAGCCAACAGGGACTTCTATCGATTCACTGCACCTCTCCGTCTTTTCAATAAGATATACCACTTCAACAAAGTCTTGCTGAGTATGGGGCTCCCGAGAATATCACTATATATTGCTCAGTGCCCCATAGAGGATCTCCCCAGGGAGCTCCAGGATGACCTTCCCACGCCAAAAATCCTCAAATCCGTTGGAAGGGGAGACATATATGCCACTAGCATATGGCTCGGCCTAGTGCCGACGTACACACCTCTACACCGAGATCCAAACCCCAACTTCTTCTGCCAGCTTTCCGGGGACAAGGTTCTCAGGCTCATGCTACCAAAGGCGGGACAGGCACTATTCGGTGAAATACAGGCTAAAATGGAAAAGACAGATAATGGTCGGTTACGAACGGAGGACATGATGCAGGGCGAGGAACGGGAAAAGCTGCATGATGCTGTTTGGGGCGACAATGAAGCACCAGCAGGGCTTTTTGAGGTTGTGCTGGAGCCTGGCGACTCTGTGTTCATCCCTTCGGGCTATTGGCATTCTGTCAAGAGCGTGGGATGGGATGGAGAAGTGAACTGCTCAGCCAACTGGTGGTTTCGATGATGCAACCACATATATAGCGGTGTCGCAAACTTCTTGTACATTATATCAGCCTTTACGAACAGGTCTACAGATGACCCAATTGAGATACCCGCACGGCCAGAGGTGCATCTCACTACCGCTCTTGACCTCCCATTTGCTCGTGTCTGCACCACAAGACCGCAACAAAGTCTCAACTTCTTCGGGCGTTCTTGTCCGCAGCGCTGAGATATATCCATCAAACATGAGAACGAACGGGAGAATAGGGATCAGGCACGAGAAGATGAATGTCGCAGGTGATCGCCACTTGAGCGCGAAGAATGGAGCACTGAAGAATGCGCCAATGCCTAGGAACGTGACCGCCAACACGCTCGCAAAGGAGCGATCTTGTAGTTCGAAGATGGCAAGTCCCTCGCTCGTCTCGACAGTATCTCGCAGGATGTCCTTGGCCAAGTCGTCGTCAAAGTGATGAAATGCCAGGTTGAACAGTCTGAAAGGCTTCGTTCCATCTTCTCTCTTGACAAGATACTCCGGAGCAGACGACGCATCGACAGAGTTGCGTTCATAGGTCAACATCGGGTTCTTCTGGGCAACCTGTTCCCAGGCTTCGACATTTGGGTGCAAGTCCGTAAGGATAAAGCGAACAGGATCCGATCCTTGAGACTGAAGGTGTGCGTTGACGGTGCGAGCTATCGAGGGCGTGGGTCCGCCGCCGCCGGCACAGAAATCGATGTAAGCATAATCGGGTAGAGACGTGTTGAGCTGCTTGATCAGGACTTGGGCGCTGAGACTCGCGGGAGATTGGGACTGGAGAGGCGTGTTGGAGAGCCAGGCGCGTGTGAGGCCATCTTGGACGCGAGCACGAAGAAAGGCAGGAAACCTGATGCCTTATTAGTACTACTGACGCTACTATAGCAGCTGCAAGTCGGTCTAGTATCCTGGATCTGCTTGTTGCGAGCTTGGGCAGTTGAAGCCCAAGAGTAGAGCTTGGATGGATGGATATTGGGGTTGACGAAGCTCTAGAGCTGGTGGAGCTTGACTTGGTGTCCAAGTACGTACCAAGTTTGATCGTCAATCTCAAAGAGATGGAACCGAGGAACAAGAGGAGCCATTTTCTATGATGAAAAGCTCCGCTCTCTATCCAATTGGCCGGTTCACTTGTTGTTGGGTAGCAGTTGATGTAGGAGTTGTGTGTCTTGGTTCGATAAGATGTGAGACTTGGTGGCCGCGAGTGTTACCTACTACCTAGGTATATCTGGCAAACGATGTCGTCACCATAGGGTAAGTTATTCGCAAAAATAAAAATACTCGCAACAGATATTCAATGAGAGTTAAAAGTAGCTCAACTGGCTGAAATATATATGTGTGAATTGAATGATTCTTCGAGGAGGTAGTATAATCGTATCGCAGAAACACCCAATGTTTCTCCTTGTATCATCATGTTTCGTCGTCAACCTTCAAACGCCACCCGTGCGACTTAATTCACGCGGACATGTAGTTCCCATACACCATCATGGCCAGAAATTGACTTACGTCAGCATATCATACATATCACATATACAAAAATGATTATAATTGCCCAGAGTGTGGATGAACCCTATTCATATTACATTTAGTTATCTCAATGTTCTCACCGTAAGTGAATGATTGATATTACGGTGCAATAACACACAGCTTTGCACTAGTAGCGGTTGTTCCATGTCAGTGTCAAATTGCATGCAGTTTGTCACATTCCTGTAGAAGTTATTAACTACTTCGTTGGTGCGTCGGTATAAGGATCAAATCCCATACGACGCTTTGCTTCGCTCCGAGCCCTCCACTGCGTTTCGCCAATCAGCCCTGTGGTTGATGTCTCCTCCAGGAAGAAAGTGAGTATGTGGTCAGGAATAGACAGATGCGATGTCTGCTGAAACTCCTGGAGACTAGCCAGTCGTATCAGCATCTCCATCAGAGATAGAGATGTTGTGATCGCCCCAAATGGCGATCGAGCGACAAAGTTCTCTGTCTCGGCTGCTGTGACTGCTTGCAGAGAGCTCAGTCTATCAGGGCTGTTCAAAGATAGTCTCTTGATTTGATCGACGACATTCGAGTCTAAAGATCTCCTGTCACGAGGCGTACCTGGCTTTGATGTCATACACTTAGGCAGCTCGAGCCTCGTCGAACCTAGGGAGTCGGTATCATCGTCTTCCCCAACATCATCTTCGTCATATTCTTCTTCGTACACCTCGAGGGCCATCCACTCCGGATCGAGATGTGACGGAAATTTCCGCTTGAAGAAATGCTCGTTCACAGGCACGACATTGCTGTCTTCCAGTACTGGGCGTCCGAGACCCTCTAGAAGTTGCCTGTCGATCTCAGCTTGATCGTCCTCATCACTCGCCGAACTTGTTGTCTCGCTCTTGTCATCGTCCTCGAGTCCTTCAATAAACACACCGGCATCATCGGTTTCCTGGTGGGCCGGCAGCGCTTGAGTGTCTCGTTTCAAAAGCAAGACTGGTCTTTGCTCGCTGTCAGTAGCGGAACCAATGTTCAAAATGCTGCCTGTATCTGTGTAAAATATCTTGGACAACTGATGCACAGGAATGGATTCGCGAATGCCTGCTCGAGCAATGTCGTCGTATGGCTGAACATTATGCTCGTCATCGTGGAGTCGACCGTCGTCAAGGTCTTCGATAACCTCCAGGTGGTATGCATATTCTCCCCCACCAGTCGATTCAGGAACTGGAAGGGGAAACTCCTGGTCTTTCAACGGATTCGCACAGTAACCTCGCTTACTGTCAAAGTAGAAGTCTCTGCGGGTTCTGCAGATTCGAACTCTTGCCTTGTGTAATACTTCCTGCCACAGTGGCTTCCGCTCCCCATCCCCTAAACCGTACGCAGTCCTGATGCTCGGCGTTTCCGAACAGTGACCATTAGTAGAGACTGTGTTGTCTGCAGCTTGACAGGTGGTGTGCGGCTTTAGCGTGGATGCGTGTCCGAGAAAGAGCATGTAGAGCGATAGAGTGAAGACTGGACCAATCTGAACTGGTCTATTTGGATCTTGTGCGAACTGTGTGTCGCCGACGGTGAGTAGTGTGCTGGCCTGCAGCAGTCTGGATGGTGATATGCCAGTGGGTAGAGATGTGGAAAGGCTCTCCCCAGAAGCAGTAATGGCTAACTGTAGTAGCGGGATCTCACGATCGATCCGGTCCAGCAGACCCTTTATAGCGGCGATGATAGCTAGTAGGCTGTCGTGGCTTGCAGATGGTGAACGTGCCTGGGCATTGTTACTACTTGAGTTTGAACAGATAGTAGTTGCTGACTCTATGCGACGGCCCAGCGAGACAATGTCCTTATGCAATGATTTCGCAAGGGGAGTTGCTGATTCGAGAAATACATTTCCACGACCTGACCTAGTTGGGATGTGTTAGAATCGGACTAGGAGAAATAGCTCCAACTAGTTGGGCAGTTGATGAGCGAATGGGGTGCTTACTTGAACTCGATCAAGTCTATGGCTGGAGAGATGATCTGCAATGGTGATAGGTTAGGTCTCAAGCATCAGGCACCCCAGAATAGTGAATGACTTTATGCCTCACGACGCACCTTTATTTTGCTATCAAGCAAGTTTCGTAACGATTTGATTTCAGCATGGACAGCCTTGTCTTCAACTGACTTGAGGAGTTTTGAACATTGACCGACGGCATACGACGATGTTAGGGCGATGCCGGAGCGAATAGCATATCTCATGGCTTGAACGCCGACTGTTGCGAGGAACTCATCCATGGCCAGGACGTTCGTGACTCGCCTTTATCGAATACTGTGTCATGCTGAGAAGCACCGGTAGAAATGCTGATAGAAGAGAAGAGTTCGCGAATTTTAGGTCGAGAGAATAGGCAAGTAAAATATTGCACGTCCCCTTCTGAGAGTTCCATGTCGCATTGGATTGGTGGCCGTAGCTTCTTAGCAGCGTTATTCACTGCACGTAACCTAATTGACCGCCAACGCATAGGTACCTAGACGGTGTAGGTTTCGGGCACTTACACTGAGTACCTTATAGAGGGGCAACGTGTACAGTGTGAGGATTAAAGACCATGCCCCCCGCCATAAGGTACCTACAAGGTATGTATGTATGGCACGTGCAGTCCTTGCTTGTGGCTGGTGTCGATACCCAGCCCATCATCATTAGGCTTGATCTCGCTCAAATGATGGGATGAGTCAGAAGACGAGTCATAAGGCTGAAACTTATACAAACGCATTGTGATACTGACAAAATTCTCTGAGTTGTTTGGGACAATAAACACTTGATTCTGCCTGTTCCGTCCCGTCCATTCTTTGATAGATGTAAGTGTGAGTTGACGAGCGCGCACAGTAACAGTCTCCGGAACTACCTTACCCACAGGGCATAAGGTTTAGGAGTCTCCAGGCCATCGGTGAGCAAGAAAACATAAGACTTTAGAAGGGAATCCTAAAATAAACCCAGTAAAGAGTCCCCTAAGCTTAGGCTTAATTGCCCAGGTCTTTTCGTCATTTTGGACAGTTCCATGGTCCAGCGTCATGATGTCCATAGCGGGGCAATAATTTTCGCAGTCTAAACCAAGGTTGCCTGGTTCTTCTCGCCTCACCCCACCAAGCAAAACACAAGGAACCTAAGCATATTCACAGAATCAATATAAGTTGTTGGGCGTCTTTGGTGCCTAAAACTCATCTTTCACTGACCAAATTTGACATCTCCAAGGGTTAGATTTTATTTATCTCCCTTCCCCATTTCTCAAAGAATTTGACATAATCTCATCGCTTGAAAATCGAAAAGAAATACACAAGCCCCATTTTCCACAGACAAGTTGCTTGCATACCTAGGGCCTTTTTAAATCCGCAACCCCATCCAGGCCTTAACAAGTGATCGCAAAACCCTCTCTACTCTCCTCTACCTACCTACCTACCTACCTACCTACTCTCCCTCCTCCTCCCACCCCCACTACGCGACACATTCCACCGCCGTCAAATACATCAAAATGGCGACACCTAATTCTTGGGAGGACGATCCC